ATATGTAAGGGAAACTTCTGTGTAGCAGCAATGCAGTGGGAGTCACCGACTCAGGAAGGAGACACGGTAGAGCAGGAGCTTTGATGTCAAACACTGATGATTTATTTGGAGTTTCGGCCGGAGAGATTCACATCACAAGTCACAGCAGTCACGATCTGACTGCACGGGTGGGTTGCCACGTCAATTCTAAAGAACTCTACCTCAGAGTTTGTATTTAGCTAGTTCTGAGAGCATCATCAACATGCTGCATAACAACATAGAACCATAACACCTCTATCAGCTGATCCAACAGGCAGGAACATAGAACCATAACACCTCTATCAGCTGATCCAACAGGCAGGAACATAGAACCATAACACCTCTATCAGCTGATCCAACAGGCAGGAACATAGAACCATAACACCTCTATCAGCTGATCCAACAGGCAGGAACATAGAACCATAACACCCTCTATCAGCTGATCCAACAGACAGGAACACAGAACCATAACACCTCTATCAGCTGATCCAACAGGCAGGACATAGAACCATAACACCTCTATCAGCTGATCCAACAGGCAGGAACATAGAACCATAACACCTCTATCAGCTGATCCAACAGGCAGGAACATAGAACCATAAACACCTCTATCAGCTGATCCAACAGGCAGGAACATAGAACCATAACACCTCTATCAGCTGATCCAACAGGCAGGAGCATAGAACCATAACACCTCTATCAGCTGATCCAACAGGCAGGAACACAGAACCATAACACCTCTATCAGCTGATTCAACAGACAGGAACATAGAACCATAACACCTCCATCAGCTGATCCAACAGGCAGGAACATAGAACCATAACACCTCTATCAGCTGATCCAACAGGCAGGAACACAGAACCATAACACCTCTATCAGCTGATCCAACAGGCAGGAACACAGAACCATAACACCTCTATCAGCTGATCCAACAGGCAGGAACATAGAACCATAACACCTCCATCAGCTGATCCAACAGGCAGGAACATAGAACCATAACACCTCTATCAGCTGATCCAACAGGCAGGAACATAGAACCATAACACCTCTATCAGCTGATCCAACAGGCAGGAACATAGAATCATAACACCTCTATCAGCTGATCCAACAGACAGGAACATAGAACCATAACACCTCTATCAGCTGATCCAACAGACAGGAACATAGAACCATAACACCTCTATCAGCTGATCCAACAGGCAGGAACATATAACCATAACACCTCTATCAGCTGATCCAACAGGCAGGAAACATAGAACCATAACACCTCTATCAGCTGATCCAACAGGCAGGAACATAGAACCATAACACCTCTATCAGCTGATCCAACAGGCAGGAACATAGAACCATAACACCTCTATCAGCTGATCCAACAGACAGGAACATAGAACCATAACACCTCTATCAGCTGATCCAACAGACAGGAACATAGAACCATAACACCTCTATCAGCTGATCCAACAGGCAGGAACATAGAACCATAACACCCTCTATCAGCTGATCCAACAGGCAGGAACATAGAACCATAACACCTCTATCAGCTGATCCAACAGGCAGGAACATAGAACCATAACACCTCTATCAGCTGATCCAACAGGCAGGAACATAGAACCATAACACCTCTATCAGCTGATCCAACAGGCAGGAACATAGAACCATAACACCTCTATCAGCTGATCCAACAGGCAGGAACATAGAACCATAACACCTCTATCAGCTGATCCAACAGGCAGGAACACAGAACCATAACACCTCTATCAGCTGATCCAACAGGCAGGAACATAGAATCATAACACCTCTATCAGCTGATCCAACAGGCAGGAACATAGAACCATAACACCTCTATCAGCTGATCCAACAGGCAGGAACATAGAACCATAACACCTCTATCAGCTGATCCAACAGGCAGGAACATAGAACCATAACACCTCTATCAGCTGATCCAACAGACAGGAACATAGAACCATAACACCTCTATCAGCTGATCCAACAGACAGGAACATAGAACCATAACACCTCTATCAGCTGATCCAACAGACAGGAACATAGAACCATAACACCTCTATCAGCTGATCCAACAGGCAGGAAACATAGAACCATAACACCTCTATCAGCTGATCCAACAGGCAGGAACATAGAACCATAACACCTCTATCAGCTGATCCAACAGGCAGGAACATAGAACCATAACCCCTCTATCAGCTGATCCAACAGGCAGGAACATATAACCATAACACCTCTATCAGCTGATCCAACAGACAGGAACATAGAACCATAACACCTCTATCAGCTGATCCAACAGGCAGGAACACAGAACCATAACACCTCTATCAGCTGATCCAACAGGCAGGAACATAGAACCATAACACCTCTATCAGCTGATCCAACAGACAGGAACATAGAACCATAACACCTCTATCAGCTGATCCAACAGGCAGGAACACAGAACCATAACACCTCTATCAGCTGATCCAACAGGCAGGAACATAGAACCATAACACCTCTATCAGCTGATCCAACAGACAGGAACATAGAACCATAACACCTCTATCAGCTGATCCAACAGACAGGAGCATAGAACCATAACACCTCTATCAGCTGATCCAACAGGCAGGAGCATAGAACCATAACACCTCCATCAGCTGATCCAACAGGCAGGAACATAGAACCATAACACCTCTATCAGCTGATCCAACAGACAGGAACATAGAACCATAACACCTCTATCAGCTGATCCAACAGGCAGGAGCATAGAACCATAACACCTCCATCAGCTGATCCAACAGGCAGGAACATAGAACCATAACACCTCTATCAGCTGATCCAACAGACAGGAACATAGAACCATAACACCTCTATCAGCTGATCCAACAGGCAGGAACACAGAACCATAACACCTCTATCAGCTGATCCAACAGGCAGGAACATAGAACCATAACACCTCTATCAGCTGATCCAACAGGCAGGAACATAGAACCATAACACCTCTATCAGCTGATCCAACAGGCAGGAACATAGAACCATAACACCTCTATCAGCTGATCCAACAGGCAGGAACATAGAACCATAACACCTCTATCAGCTGATCCAACAGGCAGGAAACATAGAACCATAACACCTCTATCAGCTGATCCAACAGGCAGGAGCATAGAACCATAACACCTCTATCAGCTGATCCAACAGGCAGGAACATATAACCATAACACCTCTATCAGCTGATCCAACAGGCAGGAACACAGAACCATAACACCTCTATCAGCTGATCCAACAGACAGGAGCATAGAACCATAACACCTCCATCAGCTGATCCAACAGACAGGAACATAGAACCATAACACCTCTATCAGCTGATCCCAACAGGCAGGAACATAGAACCATAACACCTCTATCAGCTGATCCAACAGGCAGGAGCATAGAACCATAACACCTCTATCAGCTGATCCAACAGGCAGGAACATATAACCATAACACCTCTATCAGCTGATCCAACAGGCAGGAACACAGAACCATAACACCTCTATCAGCTGATCCAACAGACAGGAGCATAGAACCATAACACCTCTATCAGCTGATCCAACAGACAGGAGCATAGAACCATAACACCTCTATCAGCTGATCCAACAGGCAGGAGCATAGAACCATAACACCTCCATCAGCTGATCCAACAGGCAGGAGCATAGAACCATAACACCTCTATCAGCTGATCCAACAGGCAGGAACATAGAACCATAACACCTCTATCAGCTGATCCAACAGGCAGGAACACAGAACCCATAACACCTCTATCAGCTGATCCAACAGGCAGGAACATAGAACCATAACACCTCTATCAGCTGATCCAACAGGCAGGAACATAGAACCATAACACCTCTATCAGCTGATCCAACAGGCAGGAACATAGAACCATAACACCTCTATCAGCTGATCCAACAGACAGGAACATAGAACCATAACACCTCTATCAGCTGATCCAACAGGCAGGAACATAGAACCATAACACCTCTATCAGCTGATCCAACAGGCAGGAACACAGAACCATAACACCTCTATCAGCTGATCCAACAGGCAGGAACATAGAACCATAACACCTCTATCAGCTGATCCAACAGGCAGGAACATAGAACCATAACACCTCTATCAGCTGATCCAACAGACAGGAACATAGAACCATAACACCTCTATCAGCTGATCCAACAGGCAGGAACATATAACCATAACACCTCTATCAGCTGATCCAACAGGCAGGAACATAGAACCATAACACCTCTATCAGCTGATCCAACAGGCAGGAACATAGAACCATAACACCTCTATCAGCTGATCCAACAGACAGGAACATAGAACCATAACACCTCTATCAGCTGATCCAACAGACAGGAACATAGAACCATAACACCTCTATCAGCTGATCCAACAGACAGGAACATATAACCATAACACCTCTATCAGCTGATCCAACAGGCAGGAACATAGAACCATAACACCTCTATCAGCTGATCCAACAGGCAGGAACACAGAACCATAACACCTCTATCAGCTGATCCAACAGGCAGGAACATAGAACCATAACACCTCTATCAGCTGATCCAACAGACAGGAGCATAGAACCATAACACCTCTATCAGCTGATCCAACAGGCAGGAACAGGGAGACAGAACACTGAGAACAGTTTGAACTGATAAACTGGGTCAAAGTTATGGGCCTTGGAAAATATTTCCACAACAATATATATATTTATTGACGTACAGCACTTTGGTCCACTCAGTTGTTCTTAAATGTGCTATAGAAATAAACTTCGGATTTTATTCTAAGTGTTCTTCATGTCACCTCGTATTTCTTTACTCAGAATAATTTCCCCGTATCTAATCCAGAGACGGTAAACGCGTGCATCCGATTGTAACAATTTGTTATTTACAGACTGTTGCAGTAACAGATGACCCGATAATAACAGACACTGAGACACAATGAAAACTCAGGAGACATTTCTTTTATATTTAGAAAATAATTTAATAACATTTAAATCCAACATATAAAAAACAACAGTGGAAGGACTCCTCTCCTCTCCGCTGGGATACTCTTTAATCATGTCATGAGAGAACTTTGAGAAAAAGAAAAAAACAATCCAGCAGAGCCGCGAGTCCTGCAGCCGGGCAGTCCCTCTCAAAATATTCATATTGATCTTTATCAAAATAAAAGTCTTGTGTATCCTCAGGAGACAAAGAAAAGACAACGTGCAGATGCAGCATTGCTACAGGAGGGGGGGTGGGGGGTGGGGGGGGGGGGCTCAGGTAAAATAAAAAGGGTGGGAATGAGGTCCAAATGAAAAGTGACAGAAACAGAAACATGGATTCATCACCGGGTCACTCAGCAGGTCTATACTTACGTCCATGATGAGACACATGTGGACTCTCTGTTGGGGGGTGGGGGGGCTCCGTCTTACCTCGGTCTGCTCTCACTCATCTACAGCTTATTAATCTTTAATGTCACTGATCTTCGGTCACTAAAGTGAGACGCTCACTGAGACCGAGACTCACTCCCACCTGCTGAACCCTGGAGAGCAGCCGCCGCAGCCGGGCGGGTCCGTCTCCATCAGCTGCTGCAGCCAGGAGGCGCTGTGGGGTGGGGTGGGGTGGGGTGGGGGGGGGGGGGAGAGAGGAGGTGAGGAGGAGGAGGGGGTAGCAGGTGTACATGCGTGTAAGAAGGTGAGGTGTAAACAGATCCTGCTGTCACTTCCTGTCTCCTATCAAGAGAAATGTCACTGTAAGAGCACACCCCAAGAGACCCTCAAATCCAAGGAGACCATCGCCTATCAGGAGACGATTGCATCTCTAAAGACCATTCCATCCCCAAAGACCATCGCATCTCTAAAGACCACCACATCCCTAAAGACCACCGCATCCCTAAAGACCACCGCGTCTCTAAAGACCATCGCATCTCTAAAGACCACCGCATCCCTAAAGACCATCGCATCTCTAAAGACCACCGCATCCCTAAAGACCACCGCATCTCTAAAGACCACCGCATCTCTAAAGACCACCCCATCTCTAAAGACCACTGCATCTCTAAAGACCACCGCATCTCCAAAGACCATCCCATCTCTAAAGACCATCGCATCTCCAAAGACCATCGCATCTACAAAGACCATCGCATCTCTAAAGACCATCGCATCTCTAAAGACCATCGCATCCCCAAAGACCATCGCATCCCCAAAGACCATCGCATCTCTAAAGACCATCGCATCCCCAAAGACCATCGCATCCCCAAAGACCATCACATCTCTAAAGACCATCGCATCTCTAAAGACCATCGCATCCCCAAAGACCATCGCATCTCTAAAGACCATCGCATCCCCAAAGACCATCGCATCTCTAAAGACCATCGCATCCCCAAAGACCATCGCATCTCTAAAGACCATCGCATCCCCAAAGACCATCGCATCTCTAAAGACCATCGCATCCCCAAAGACCATCGCATCCCCAAAGACCATCGCATCTCTAAAGACCATCGCATCCCCAAGACCATCGCATCCTAAAGACCATCGCATCTCTAAAGACCATCGCATCTATAAAGACCATCGCATCTCTAAAGACCATCGCATCTCTAAAGACCATCGCATCCCCAAAGACCATCGCATCTCTAAAGACCATCGCATCTCCAAAGACCATCGCATCTCTAAAGACCATCGCATCCCCAAAGACCATCGCATCTCTAAAGACCATCGCATCTCTAAAGACCATCGCATCTCTAAAGACCATCGCATCTCTAAAGACCATCGCATCTCTAAAGACCATCGCATCCCCAAAGACCATCGCATCTCTAAAGACCATCGCATCCCCAAAGACCATCGCATCTCTAAAGACCATCGCATCTCTAAAGACCATCGCATCTCTAAAGACCATCGCATCCCCAAAGACCATCGCATCTCCAAAGACCATCGCATCTCTAAAGACCATCGCATCTCTAAAGACCATCGCATCTCTAAAGACCATCGCATCTCTAAAGACCATCGCATCCCCAAAGACCATCGCATCTCCAAAGACCATCGCATCTCCAAAGACCATCGCATCTCTAAAGACCATCGCATCCCCAAAGACCATCGCATCCCCAAAGACCATCGCATCTCTAAAGACCATCGCATCTCCAAAGACCATCGCATCCCCAAAGACCATCGCATCTCTAAAGACCATCGCATCCCCAAAGACCATCGCATCTCTAAAGACCATCGCATCCCCAAAGACCATCGCATCTCTAAAGACCATCGCATCCCCAAAGACCATCGCATCCCCAAAGACCATCGCATCCCCAAAGACCATCGCATCTCTAAAGACCATCGCATCCCCAAAGACCATCGCATCTCTAAAGACCATCGCATCCCCAAAGACCATCGCATCTCTAAAGACCATCGCATCCCCAAAGACCATCGCATCTCTAAAGACCATCGCATCCCCAAAGACCATCGCATCTCCAAAGACCATCGCATCCCCAAAGACCATCGCATCCCCAAAGACCATCGCATCTCTAAAGACCATCGCATCTCTAAAGACCATCGCATCTCTAAAGACCATCGCATCCCCAAAGACCATCGCATCTCCAAAGACCATCGCATCCCCAAAGACCATCGCATCTCTAAAGACCATCGCATCTCTAAAGACCATCGCATCCCCAAAGACCATCGCATCTCTAAAGACCATCGCATCTCTAAAGACCATCGCATCTCTAAAGACCATCGCATCTCTAAAGACCATCGCATCTCTAAAGACCATCGCATCCCCAAAGACCATCGCATCTCCAAAGACCATCGCATCTCTAAAGACCATCGCATCTCTAAAGACCATCGCATCTCTAAAGACCATCGCATACCTATAAACTTTTGAGACAATTGACGTTTGGTTTAAAACATTCTCAACATGCGACTCGAATGAGACACAGGAAGTGAGTCAGTGTGTGTGTGTGTGTGTTTACATCTTTCCACAGCTCAGCACACAGAGGAAGGTTGGTCAGAGCTTGATGATACAGACGTCGCACCTGGAAGAGAAATAAAGTGACATAAAGAGGAAGGAGGAGAAACAGCAAAAACAAAAAACAAAGTGAGAGGTTAATAAACCAACAAACAACAACAAACTGTCAACCAAGAAGCCTGTGGGGAGGAAACCAGAGTCAGGCGCTCTGCAGAGGGTCCTCCGTCCCTCCAGGACCTGTAGGACCCTGAGGCAGTTCATTTAAATCAAACCATTAATGGACCTGACCATTGTGATTGGTCTCCTTGTACATGGAGGGACAGTCCTGGCCTAATGGGTAGCTCTCACCTATCAGGACCAAATCCCCTCAGTCCTCCATCACCCTCTGAACTTAGCACATTGTACACAAAGCTACTTCTTAGTATCTGCACAGCTCTCCACTTCTCATACTAATATTTTATTATCCAAGTATTGTGTCATATTATACTGTTCTTAGTTTTTGGGTATATAGTTATATATTTGAATAAAAGGTCCTTCAGAGCGTCTCTCCATCCCTGACTCACCTCAGAAGTTAGCTTCAGCTCCTTCTCCACAGCTATCGCTCTGAGAGAAACACAGATACAGTCAGGAAACACACCTCAGAGGGTTATTGATCTCACACAAAAACACACATTCATATATTTTTAGGAGCTGCTTCATGAATACTTTAAGATTACGCAGTGAAAAAAACCAAACATGGTTGATTCCTGCCCATGAATAGAGGATTAACAGCCATGTACACCCCAGCAGTCGAGCTAAGGATTATAAAAGTACATTTCTACTTGTTTTCCCTGCAGTGTGAAGGCCTTCATTGGTTGGGTTCAGGACATCCCGGCTCCTTGATTTAAGCTTTGGTTTCTCATGGTCCGTGCTGGGTGTCACTCACATGTTCCAGTAGGCGAGGCACTTGGGAGAATGGCTGCTCAGCATCCGGACCTGGAACTTCAGGTGCTCCATGTTTCCATCCTGCCACTCCTGATGCAGCAACCTGAACATCAACACAGCAACTCAGGAAGCAACAAACACCACAGAGCTGGATCCCACGGGGTCAGACCACCTCAGGTAACTAACGCCAGCTCAGAAACAACCTCAGAGAAATACACGCACACACATCGGAGAGGGCTTCCTCTGTAAGGCTCACTGCTGGTCTACAGATGTGGAAACTAGGGACACGGATGCAGACTCATGCCCACATCGTTGTGCGATGGGTTTTTAACACGTTACGTATCTTCCTCTATGAATCCCGATGAGCCTTTAAACATCCTACATTAGGGTTGTCCACATCCGGCCCACCAGAGGGTCCAATCCGTCTCGCGGCATGACTAAATGTTATAGATGCAAGGCAGGGGGATAACCTTCCTTAATAGTTCCCTCTTTAGTTCGTATGCTGTCGTGTCAGGATTACCACACAGATGTGGAAATGAGTGTAAGATCATTTCTAGAAGTAGTTTTGATCAATATTGTTCAGATCCAGACACCGGTGACTGAATGTGTTTGTAGAGACTGATCTGTTGCGATGCAGATGTGTAAAGACAATCTAAGGATGTTAAGAATGTACGTTTTTATTATGCTATGACTTTGCTGGTCCGGCCCACCTGAGATTACATTTGGCTGAACGTGGCCCCTGAACTAATATGAGTTTGACCCCCCTGTCCTAGACCTGGTACTACAGAGTGTGTGTGTGTGTGTGTGTGTGTGTGTGTACCTCAGACCCAGTTCAGTGTTGTTGGGCATGGCGTATCTTAGTCTCTCCAGAACAAGAGCATGCTGGGATTTCGGCAGACAGCGCAGGTAGAGCGTTACCACCTGAGAACCAATCAGCACAGAGCATTTCCATCAGGTAAAACCACGTGGTCACGTTCAATATCCTTTCAGGATCTTTATGTTTCTAGAAACTAGTTTAGGTTGAACACGGTCCTCACAAAACAGGTGAGGTAGAACAGGTGAGATGTAGAACAGGTGAGGTAGAACAGGTGAGGTAGAACAGGTGAGATGTAGAACAGGTGAGATGTAGAACAGGTGAGGTAGAACAGGTGAGGTAGAACAGGTGAGATGTAGAACAGGTGAGATGTAGAACAGGTGAGAGGTAGAACAGGTGAGATGTAGAACAGGTGAGATGTAGAACAGGTGAGAGGTAGAACAGGTGAGATGTAGAACAGGTGAGATGTAGAACAGGTGAGAGGTAGAACAGGTGAGAGGTAGAACAGGTGAGGTGTAGAACAGGTGAGGTGTAGAACAGGTGAGGTGTAGAACAGGTGAGATGTAGAACAGGTGAGATGTAGAACAGGTGAGATGTAGAACAGGTGAGATGTAGAACAGGTGAGGTGTAGAACAGGTGAGATGTAGAACAGGTGAGATGTAGAACAGGTGAGAGGTAGAACAGGTGAGATGTAGAACAGGAGAGATGTAGAACAGGTGAGGTGTAGAACAGGTGAGGTGTAGAACAGGTAAGATGTAGAACAGGTGAGATGTAGAACAGGTGAGGTAGAACAAGTGAGGTAGAACAGGTGAGATGTAGAACAAGTGAGATGTAGAACAGGTGAGGTGTAGAACAGGTGAGATGTAGAACAGGTGAGATGTAGAACAGGTGAGATGTAGAACAGGTGAGATGTAGAACAGGTGAGAGGTAGAACAGGTGAGGTGTAGAACAAGTGAGATGTAGAACAGGTGAGGTGTAGAACAGGTGAGATGTAGAACAGGTGAGATGTAGAACAGGTGAGGTGTAGAACAGGTGAGGTGTAGAACAGGTGAGGTGTAGAACAGGTGAGAATGTAGAACAGGTTGAGATGTAGAACAGGTGAGATGTAGAACAAGTGAGATTGTAGAACAAGTGAGATGTAGAACAGGTGAGGTGTAGAACAGGTGAGATGTAGAACAGGTGAGTGTAGAACAGGTGAGATGTAGAACAGGTGAGATTGTAGAACAGGTGAGATGTAGAACAGGTGAGATGTAGAACAGGTGAGAATGTAGAACAGGTGATGTTAGAACAGGTGAGATTAGAACAGGTGAGATGTAGAACAGGTGAGAGGTAGAACAGGTGAGATGTAGAACAGGAGAGATGTAGAACAGGTGAGGTGTAGAACAGGTGAGGTGTAGAACAGGTGAGATGTAGAACAGGTGAGATGTAGAACAGGTGAGGTAGAACAAGTGAGGTAGAACAGGTGAGATGTAGAACAAGTGAGATGTAGAACAGGTGAGGTGTAGAACAGGTGAGATGTAGAACAGGTGAGATGTTAGAACAGGTGAGATGTAGAACAGGTGAGATGTAGAACAGGTGAGATGTAGAACAGGTGAGAGGTAGAACAGGTGAGGTGTAGAACAAGTGAGATGTAGAACAGGTGAGGTGTAGAACAGGTGAGATGTAGAACAGGTGAGATGTAGAACAGGTGAGGTGTAGAACAGGTGAGGTGTAGAACAGGTGAGGTGTAGAACAGGTGAGATGTAGAACAGGTGAGATGTAGAACAGGTGAGATGTAGAACAAGTGAGATGTAGAACAAGTGAGATGTAGAACAGGTGAGGTGTAGAACAGGTGAGGTGTAGAACAGGTGAGATGTAGAACAAGTGAGATGTAGAACAGGTGAGGTGTAGAACAGGTGAGATGTAGAACAGGTGAGATGTAGAACAGGTGAGATGTAGAACAGGTGAGATGTAGAACAGGTGAGGTGTAGAACAGGTGAGATGTAGAACAGGTGAGATGTAGAACAGGTGAGGTGTAGAACAGGTGAGATGTAGAACAGGTGAGGTGTAGAACAGGTGAGACCTTGTTGTGGAAAGTGTAGCAGCTCCAGAACTCAGCGGGGTTGAAGGGGACACACAAGCGGGACGGGACGGTGCTGAGGCAGCGATGGATCAGATTTGAGAACCGTTTGGACCGATTGAGGGACACAGAGCTGAACTCCAGGTACCTGAAACAGGTGAGAGACAGAAAGACAGGTGAGAGACAGGTGAGACAGCTTCTCAGGTTTAACTGCGGTGTGCGGTGTGCAGGTGACCCCCCCCCCCCCAGGTGTACAGGTGACCCCCCACCCAGGTGACACTCACTCCATCCACAGAGTGTGCAGCTGGTCTCGCTGCAGGACGGACCCCAGCGCTCTCTCGTAGGCGTCCACAGTGTCGTCCACTGATCCGTGCAGCCGCTGCCAGCAGCTGAACATACAAAGCACATGTTAGACACCTGTTAGACACATGTTAGACACCTGTTAGACACCTGTTAGACACCTGTTAGACACCTGTTAGACACATGTAACCATATATTAAATAATAATAAATGAAGTGTTACCAGTGTATGAGGTGCAGGTAGGCTCTCTGCTGGCGGAGCGGCTCCTGCAGATCTGTGATGATCGGAGCTCTCTGCAGCTCCTCGCTGGGGAAACCCAGCAGCTGTCTGCAGACAGGAAGCAGCAACTTTAACATGAACTCAGAAATCACAGTGTATGTAGCGTTAGCATCGCAGTGTGTGCAGCGTTAGCGTCAGAAATAACAGGGACTAGTGTTAGCATCGCAGTGTATGTAGCATTAGCATCGCAGTGTGTGTAGCGTTAGCGTCAGAGATAACAGAGACTAGTGTTAGCATCGCAGTCTATGTAGCATTAGCATCGCAGTGTGTGTAGCGTTAGCGTCAGAGATAACAGAGACTAGCGTTAGCATCACAGTGTATGTAGCGTTAGCATCGCAGTGTGTGTAGCGTTAGCATCGCAGTGTATGTAGCGTTAGCATCACAGTGTGTGTAGCATTAGCATCGCAGTGTGTGTAGCGTTAGCATCGCAGTGTGTGCAGCGTTAGCGTCAGAGATAACAGGGACTAGTGTTAGCATCGCAGTGTATGTAGCATTAGCATCGCAGTGTGTGTAGCGTTAGCGTCAGAGATAACAGAGACTAGCGTTAGCATCACAGTGTGTGTAGCGTTAGCATCGCAGTGTATGTAGCGTTAGCGTCAGAGATAACAGGGACTAGTGTTAGCATCGCAGTGTGTGCAGCGTTAGCGTCAGAGATAACAGAGACTGGCGTTAGCATCACAGTGTGTGTAGCGTTAGCATCGTAGTGTGTGTAGCGTTAGCATCGCAGTGTATGTAGCGTTAGCATCGCAGTGTATGTATGTTTTATCTGTTTTGTGTTTAGCTTTTTATCTTATTTATTGATGTGTGTTTTGTCTTTTTGTGTGATATGGACCTTGAGTCTGGAATAAAGATTGGATATGTAGCGTTAGCGTCAGAGATAACAGGGACTAGTGTTAGCATCGCAGTGTGTGTAGCTTTAGCGTCAGAGATAACAGGGACTAGTGTTAGCATCGGAGTGTGTGTAGCGTTAGCGTCAGAGCTAACAGGGACTAGTGTTAGCCTCACAGTGTATGTAGCGTTAGCGTCAGAGAAAACAGGGACTAGTGTTAGCATCGCAGTGTGTGTAGCATTAGCGTCAGAGATAACAGGGACTAGTGTAAGCATCGCAGTGTGTGTAGCATTAGCGTCAGAGATAACAGGGACTAGTGTTAGCATCGCAGTGTGTGTAGCATTAGCGTCAGAGATAACAGGGACTAGTGTTAGCATCGCAGTGTGTGTAGCGTTAGCGTCAGAGATAACAGGGACTAGTGTTAGCATCGCAGTGTGTGTAGCATTAGCGTCAGAGATAACAGGGACTAGTGTTAGCATCGCAGTGTGTGTAGCGTTAGCGTCAGAGATAACAGGGACTAGTGTTAGCATCGCAGTGTGTGTAGCATTAGCGTCAGAGATAACAGGGACTAGTGTTAGCATCGCAGTGTGTGTAGCGTTAGCGTCAGAGATAACAGGGACTAGTGTTAGCATCGCAGTGTGTGTAGCATTAGCGTCAGAGATAACAGGGACTAGTGTTAGCATCGCAGTGTGTGTAGCGTTAGCGTCAGAGATACCAGGGACTAGTGTTAGCATCGCAGTGTGTGTAGCATTAGCGTCAGAGCTAACAGGGACCAGCGTACCGCAGGACGTCCACGGGCTCCCTGACGCTCTTCTGCTCCTCACACAGCGACAGCATGAAGCATCGGACCAGCGGAGCGATGGCGCTGCACCTCTCCTGGCACCACACACAACAAACATTTAAATAACGTTTCAACAACATCATAGAACATATAAACTGCTACCATCTAATCAGAGATCAATAAAGTCTGAAGCATCCTCTGTGCTCCAGTCCTCTCAGTGAACACAGAGCTACAGACCAGATGCACGCTGAAGGCTCGTTGAGCAGCTCTCACTGATCCTGCTGTGATGTTACATGTTTGTTTCTCGTGTGTGTTGATGTTACACATGGAGCTGCTGTGATGCAAGGAGCATTTCAGACCTGATCTGACCAGTAAAGTATTATCGTATCGTAACAAGTCAGAGGTGTGTGTGTGTGTACCTGTGCTCTGAGGAAGCAGCAGCAGTGGTACAGCAGCTCGGCATTGTGGGGGCTCTCTGTCAGAGCGGTCAGCCAGGTGTTGACCCCCCCCTCGGTGTCGCCCCTCAGCAGCAGCAGCTCGGACAGAGAGACTCTCAGAGGGGCGGAGTCAGGACACACCAGCAGCAGCGCCTCACACAGGGCCACGCCCTCATCATACCTGCAGCAATTAGGATGGTACATCATTATTGTTTTAAAGGTCTCCTATCATGCTATTTGTAGGCATATATTACAGGTCTCAGATATAAGGCTCCAAACCCCCAAACAGATCCTTGTAGCCCCCCTCCTCTCTTCCAGCTGTTACTAAGGACATGTCTCTGAAGAGTCCTGCTCCTAACACCAAACAGATCCTTGTAGCCCCACCCCCTCTCTCCCAGCTGTTACTAAGGACATGTCTCTGAAGAGTCCTGCTCCTAACACCAAACAGATCCTTGTAGCCCCCCTCCTCTCTTCCAGCTGTTACTAAGGACATGTCTCTGAAGAGTCCTGCTCCTAACACCAAACAGATCCTTGTAGCCCCACCCCCTCTCTCCCAGCTGTTACTAAGGACATGTCTCTGAAGAGTCCTGCTCCTAACACCAAACAGATCCTTGTAGCCCCCCCCCCTCTCTTCCAGCTGTTACTAAGGACATGTCTCTGAAGTGTCCTGCTCCAAACCCCAAACAGATCTTTGTAGCCCCCCCCCCCCTCTCTCTTCCAGCTGTTACTAAGGACATGTCTCTGAAGTGTCCTGCTCCAAACCCCAAACAGTTTTAATAAGAGCCGTGTGTGTTCAGCGCTCTGCTTCCACTCCCTGCACTGCAACCGTGCCTGCAGTCCCTCCTCTCTCAAGCCGCTCTAAGTCCCTCCTCTCTCAAGCCGCTCTAAGTCCCTCCACTCTCAAGCACGCTCTAAGTCCCTCCACTCTCAAGCACGCTCTAAGTCCCTCCACTCTCAAGCACGCTCTAAGTCCCTCCACTCTCAAGCACGCTCTAAGTCCCTCCCCTCTCAAGCACGCTCTAAGTCCCTCCCATCTCTCGTGCACGCTCTAAGTCCCTCCCCTCTCAAGCACGCTCTAAGTCCCTCCCTCTCAAGCACGCTCTAAGTCCCTCCCCTCTCAAGCACGCTCTAAGTCCCTCCCCTCTCAAGCACCCACTAAGTCCCTCCCCTCTCTAGCACGCTCTAAGTCCCTCCTCTCTCAAGCATGCTCTAAGTCCCTCCCCTCTCAAGCACGCTCTAAGTCCCTCCCCTCTCAAGCACGCTCTAAGTCCCTCCCCTCTCAAGCACGCACGAAGTCCCTCCCCTCTCAAGCATGCTCTAAGTCCCTCCCCTCTCAAGCACGCACTAAGTCCCTCCCCTCTCAAGCACGCTCTAAGTCCCTCCCCTCTCAAGCACGCTCTAAGTCCCTCCCCTCTCAAGCACGCTCTAAGTCCCTCCTCTCTCAAGCATGCTCTAAGTCCCTCCACTCTCAAGCACGCTCTAAGTCCCTCCCCTCTCAAGCACGCACGAAGTCCCTCCCCTCTCAAGCATGCTCTAAGTCCCTCCCCTCTCAAGCACGCACTAAGTCCCTCCCCTCTCAAGCACGCTCTAAGTCCCTCCCCTCTCAAGCACGCTCTAAGTCCCTCCCCTCTCAAGCACGCTCTAAGTCCCTCCTCTCTCAAGCATGCTCTAAGTCCCTCCTCTCTCAAGCATGCTCTAAGTCCCCTCCTCTCTCAAGCACGCTCTAAGTCCCTCCCCTCTCAAGCCGCTCTAAGTCCCCTCCCCTCTCAAGCATGCTCCAAGTCCCTCCCCTCTCAAGCACGCACTAAGTCCCTCCCCTCTCTAGCACGCTCTAAGTCCCTCCCCTCTCAAGCACGCTCTAAGTCCCTCCCCTCTCAAGCACGCTCCAAGTCCCTCCCCTCTCAAGCACGCTCCAAGTCCCTCCCCTCTCAAGCACGCTCTAAGTCCCTCCCCTCTCAAGCACGCAACTAAGTCCCTCCCCTCTCAAGCACGCTCTAAGTCCCTCCCCTCTCAAGCACGCTCCAAGTCCCTCCCCTCTCAAGCACGCTCCAAGTCCCCCCCCTCTCAAGCACGCTCTAAGTCCCTCCCCTCTCAAGCACGCTCTAAGTCCCTCCCCTCTCAAGCACGCTCCAAGTCCCTCCCCTCTCAAGCACGCTCTAAGTCCCTCCCCTCTCAAGCACGCTCTAAGTCCCTCCCCTCTCAAGCACGCTCTAAGTCCCTCCCCTCTCAAGCACGCTCCAAGTCCCTCCCCTCTCAAGCACGCTCTAAGTCCCTCCCCTCTCAAGCACGCTCTAAGTCCTTTTGTGACAAACGAATGTTTTCGTAGTTTGACGAGACAATTAATGGCAATGATAACTGTCTAATATGGCTATCTTTTAAGCTAACTTACCAATGTGGTTCTGGTGTGAAATAAAGCACAACATTTTTTTTTAAAGTATCGAAAAACAATCGGAATCGCAATTCTTGACTTGGTATCGGTATCGAAACCAAAATGTTGGTATCGTGACAACACTAGAAGACATCACTTTGTGAGTCTCCTGACACACGGTGATGTAGAGAAGACATCAGAGTGACTTCTGCATGATAGGAGACCTTTAAATAGAAATAACAACAGTACCTGTTGTTATTTCTATTTAGTAACTAGAGGGTACTGAGCATTCGCAGCAGCTGGCCCCAGGCTCTGGAACATTCTGCCCCTCCATGTGAGGTCGGCCCAGACCCTAGGGGGTTTTAAATCAACACTTAAAACTCACTTTTTCTCTCTGGCCTTCTTGGCTTCTCTTATCAAGAATAACTTTTACCCAGGACCGTTTCCCTCTCTAACCTCTCGAGGTTTTATGAGAGGGAAACGGTTTGCAGAGTGGCTTAGACAGGCCGGGGAGTGTTACGATTCGTAGACACAGCGTACCTCCCTATCTCTCATCAATTTCCAACTAAGGCTCCAGTGGGGACCTTGTTCCCTGAGTGTGCCTCTCCACCTATGTTTCTTACTCTCTCACTCGCTACCCTTTGCCCTCAACCTATTCTAAGGGAGTGCTTGTTCTTCCGTCTGTCTGTCTGTGTATTCTCTTGTTCCGATTAACCCAGCCAAATCTTTGTTCTTGTTTTGTATCTATATCTACGCCGGGATCCGGAGTCGAGGCTGCTCCTCTTGCTGTAGTCCTGTGTCTTGGATCCTCTATCCTGAGTTCTGGATTAAGTCGTGGACTTCGGGTCGTGGCTGAACCTGTCTCTGCGGTCCTGCCTTGGGTCTCGCCATGCTGCTTCCCTGATGGCTTCCTCAGGATTGTTGACATCCTCGTGGATTCATCTTCTTATTACAGACACATGCATTTCCTAACATTCGGTCTATATGCTGTCAAATGTATTATCTCTTGGATTTACACACGGCATCTATTGCACGTCTGTCCGTCCTGGGAGAGGGATCCCTCCTCTGTTGCTCTCCCTGAGGTTTCTCCCATGTTCCCTTTAAACTGTGGGTTTTCTCTGGAAGTGTTTCCTTGTACGATGTGAGGGTCTAAGGACAGAGGGTCTAAGGACAGAGGGTCTGAGGACAGAGGGTCTAACACTTCACCCGGATTTGCTCCTGTGGGTATTGTCCACAGTACATGTATAATACCAATGTGTAATTGTAAAAGCGCCTCGATGACCTCGAGGCGTGAAGATGGACGGTGTGGCGCAGTGCGCTGTGCAATGATCATCAGATCAAGGGGTGAAACCCGCCGCTGCTGCGTCTGTAAAGCCGGTGTGTCCTTGGGCAAGACACTTCACCTGAACTTGCTCCTGTGGGTATTGTCCACAGTATCTGACCATTGCATGTATGATATATGTGTAATGTGTGTATATGTAAAGCGCTTTGAGTCATTGAAAAAGCGCTATAATAAATGTAAGGAATTATTATTATTATTAAGGACAGAGGGTCTAAGGACAGAGGGTCTAAGGACAGAGGGTCTAAGGACAGAGGGTCTAAGGACAGAGGGTCTAAGGACAGAGGGTCTGAGGACAGAGGGTCTAAGAACAGAGGGTGTCGTTTTTCTCATACTGCTATTCTGAACAATCTGTGCTGTTTTATTTGCTGTAAAGTGTCTCCACTGTAGGCTATTTTTATTTTCACCAAAAATCGTTTATAAATGTGCTATATAAACAAAACTTGATTTGATTTGATTACCTCTCCAGGAGGCGGTAGAGTAAGAGGAGGTTGTTGTGCAGAGGAAGGCAGGCGAGCATCCTCTCGCTGACGGACAGACGCTCGTCACTGCACTGCAGCACGCCGTCTGACAGGAAGCACAAACACATTTATTACATCTGCACACAATGTGTCTTCACAGCTCTCCTTAAGCTAGTGTGTGGGTGTGTACCCTGGAACAGCTGGATCAGAGTGTGTGTGGGCGTCCTGATGTCCCGAGGCGTCCTCCAGGGCATCAGGAAGCTCTCTGTGCTGACCAGCCGCCCCGGCCCGGACTCAGCGGGCAGGAAGAGGCTCGGCAGCCGGCTGAACTCCGTCAGGTGGACGAAGCAGAGCCAGAGCAGAGCGCGGTGCGAGGGGGAGAGGTGGTCCAACAGGCTGCGGAGCTGAGGGGCCTTCAGGGCGCCCTGCACACACACACAAAATTGTAATGTATTTATTACACGGTTTAGATGAATACTCGATTTTGATTGTTCAATTTGGACATTTCAAAGGTTGTTAATCTTGTGTGTGTGTGCATGCGTCCTCACCTGCAGCAGAGCCAGCGCGCTTCCCCCCCGCCCGCTGAACAGATGCAGCTGCACCCGATACAGCAACGCCTCCATCAGCTGGAAGGAGCCTCTGTCAGAGGAGGGGGAGGAGCCTCTGTCAGAGGAGGGGGGCGCCTCCATCAACTGGAAGGAGCCTCTGTCAGAGGAGGGGGAGGAGCCTCTGTCAGAGGAGGGGGGCGCCTCCATCAGCTGGGAGGAGGAGCCTCTGTCAGAGGAGGGGGGCGCCTCCATCAGCTGGAAGGAGCCTCTGTCAGAGGAGGGTGAGGAGCCTCTGTCAGAGGAAGGGGGCGCCTCCATCAGCTGGGAGGAGGAGCCTCTGTCAGAGGAGGGGGAGGAGCCTCTGGCAGAGGAGGGGGGCGCCTCCATCAGCTGGGAGGAGTCTCTGTCTGAGGAGGGGGAGGAGCCTCTGTCAGAGGAGGGGGAGGAGCCTCTGTCAGAGGAGGGGGGGGCCTCCATCAGCTGGGAGGAGGAGCCTCTGTCAGAGGAGGGGGAGGAGCCTCTGGCAGAGGAGGGGGGCGCCTCCATCAGCTGGGAGGAGTCTCTGTCAGAGGAGGGGGGCGTCTCCATCAGCTGGGAGGAGTCTCTGACTGAGGAGGGGGAGGAGCCTCTGTCAGAGGAGGGGGGTGCCTCCATCAGCAGAGAGGAGGAGGGGGGTGCCTCCATCAGCAGAGAGGAGGAGGGGGGCGCCTCCATCAGCTGGGAGGAGGAGGGGGGTGCCTCCATCAGCAGAGAGGAGGAGGGGGGTGCCTCCATCAGCTGGGAGGAGGAGGGGGGCGCCTCCATCAGCAGGAACTGAAGCAGGCGCTCGCACACAAAGTCCTTCCCCTCAAAGGAGCCCTCCAGCGTCAGGAACTGAAACAGGAGGAGAAAAATGGTTTTATACATTGAAACCCCATCAGAGAGTTGGAAGAAGTGGGCAGAAAGCACGTCGTATACAGAGAGAGCCCCCCCCCGTAAAGAGTCAATGAGTCGATGAGTCAATGAGTCAGTGAGTTAATGGGTTAATGAGTCAATGAGTCAAACTCTGGTGCCCACCTCCCACCACACCCTGTAGTGCGGCGCGTGCTCCACGGCCATCTCACACATCTGCTGCAGCTCGTCCCTGCTGCCCCTCCTGGAGAACAGGCTGAGGTAGTGGCTCCACACCTCGGGGTCCCCGCAGTTACTCTCCAGGGCCCGGGACAGCGTGTTGAGGGCGGCCTCCAGACCCTCCGCTGCACACCTGGAGGGACACAGGACACCAAAGCACCCGTTAGTCCTGAACGCAGGATCCGCTTCTATCAGATCGCAGAAACAGGGTCCCTAGTTTCATGTAGGGATGGGAATTTGAATGCATATTCGATTTTTTTTTATTTTGAAAAATAAATAAATACATGTTCAAATAAGTTTAGAAACCAAGTCGAATTCGTCAAATGTATTGAACTGCTGATCACAGTTTGAACAGTTGACAGCTGTAGGCCTACAGCTTTCATGCTGAAAACATAACTTGGTTTTTAAATGAAAGAGGGATCAAACACGAACACTAGGGCTGCACGATATTGAAAAAACCTGACATGGCGATATTTTTTCCCCCTGCGATATATATTGCGTTTTTTATTTAACCGGATGAAGGATTTTAGTCACGGCGTCTGGATCTTAACTGGTTGACTCGTCATGCCTTAAGTCATGATCTAACATGTGATGATAATGCAGGTTGCTTCCCCTCAAATAAGGGGCTTCGTCTGGGAAGAAGAGAAGAACCTTTTTGGATCCAAAATAGTTCCAGATGGCAGATGTTGCTTTTCTTCTTGGAAGTAAATCTTCATTCTCTCCGGTATTGTCCTCCTGTGCCTCGCTCACTTTTCACCGGTGTTTTGATGATCTGCAAACCAGCGGGCGGGGCCTGCTGTGATCTGATCAAGAGTGATTGTGATTGGTGGTTGGCTGTGCATGCAGAGCCGGCATGTCACTCACTCAAGTTTTCCTTTTGTAGCAAGCAGCAAAATAATTGTAACATGACGTGTTTGAGTTCATTCACCTACTTAAGGCGAGACACGGCAGGCAAAAACATCGTTTTTCAAGTACTGGTCAATTTTGAGATGTTGTGCTATTTTGATTCTATAACATGTTTTCTTTCAGGCTTTTGGAAGGAAAACGTACAAAATACACATTTAAGTGTTTATGTTACTATAGTTTGTCTATTTGCGTCTGTAGGTTTCTCCTAAATTCACCAAAAGTTAGCTTTCTAACGTAACATAAAGTACCGCGACCGCTGTGTGCACCATGTCAACAGAGGTATCGCTGGAAAGCTGTGTCTCTCCTGCACAATCTCATCGGATCCAAATATGGTCATTTCCTTTGTATCAGCAACCAATCGTGAAAGCACAAAGGGGTCTTAAACCAAGAAACGAAATCTCATTGGCTGGTGTCAACTTCTGACAACGTGATTCGTTCAGATGCGTCACGTGGTGTGCTAAAACACTTCCTGGTTAGCTTTCCGCTAGAAATTGAAATCTCAAAATGGCAAAAGAACGGCGAAAAAAACGTTCACAGAGAAGACGACAACAATTGTCACTTGCACGAAGCAAGGTTATATAAAAAAAATGACCCTGAACATGAAATACCTTCACGGAGTGCGTCGAGGCGCAAGCTGTCATCCAAAGAACAGGAGGGTTTAGCTAGCGCCTCACTGGCGCTAGCGCTTCTCCTACTCTGAGTTCGAAATGTCAACTTCAGTAGTACGTACATACACCAAACCTTCCAGTTATATTCCTATCAATATTATGAAGGCTTTTACAGAAGGGTTTGTTCATATATAATTCATAGCCTGAATTATACAACATTGTATACCTAAAAACATGGCGACAATTGATATTTTAGGGCTGTTGACAGTATTTTCTGATTTATGGAGTGAAAACAAGAGATATCCAAAATCCCTTCTGTAAAAGCCTTAGATACTAATATGACTACAAAATGAAACAATAATTTTGAATCTGGCTATATCCAAAGTTCAGATTTCGATTCCTGAAATGTGTTAAAATATGTGCATATTTAATGAGATAATGGATAATTTGTATATTTAAACATGCTATTTCAGAAAACTTGTAATACAAAAGACAATTGCCTTATTGTAAGTAATTAACTGGAGACATTTCTAGCTGATACCTTTAAGTTAAAAAAATTACCCTATTCACCTGGGGTGTCTCGCCTTAATATCAAAAGCCCTAAAAAAATAATAAAACCGCACGTCCCTGCGATGTGAATATCGCGCATGCGCATATCACGGTTATCGCCATGACACGATATATCGTTCAGCCCTAACAAACAACATCACGGGTCAGGGTAACGTAACCCGTGACAACAGAGATCAACCTGTAGCCGGGCCTATGCACAGAATGCAGCTATTCAATACTCATTCCTCTTTAAGAATATGAGCATGTCTACTCAGGGAGAGGCGGGGGCGATCAGGCCAGCTGTAGAGGAGACCCTCTCTGCTGGGATGTGGGCATAAGATGAGCTTTGAGTCTGCGTGAGGGGAGGGGCAGCAGCCACATCATCAGCTAGAACTAGATCTGATGGATTTGGACATAAACGCGAGTGAAGTCTAACCGGACGAGAAAGAGAGATCAGCAGCTGCAGCTCTGCCCGCTGTGAGGGACCGGAGAGCGGAGCAGAACACCTTTAGACCTGACACACTCAGCTATGGCACTGTCGTATACATTGAATTATTCCATTTGATCATATGTAATCAACTTAGAAACCCCTCCCAAAAGAAAAATGATAATACAAATATTCATAACTCGTATTCGATACCTGAATAATTTAGATTATTCGTTCCCATTCCTAGTTTCATGCAGACTGAAGCTCTCTGTGCTCCAGTCTGACCCATCATCAAATACAGACACAAATAAGTGTGCTCACGTGTGAGTGTGTGTGCTGAAAGGTGAGACACGTGACCATCCCTAGGGTCCTCAAGAGCCTTCAAAAAGGATTTTCGTAACTCAGATAAAATGACGAAGGTATAAAAATGGCTCATATTCTATCAAACATGAATCTCCTTTAGACGCAGAGTGGAAACAATGGAGAACAACCTGTAAAGCTTCAGTGAATCTGATGCGCGCCAAGTGGTTTGTGTTGGTCTTCACTGACGTGTGTGTGTGTGTGTGTGTACTCACGCCTCGCTCTGCTGCAGGTACTTGAAGGCCAGTTTGATCCACAGCTGGGTGTCTCTGGGGCTCTGCAGGACGCTCAGCTCCAGGTTGGAGAGGTCGTCCGTCTCACTGAGGAAGTAACGCTTGTCTTCCGAGGAGACACACACGTCCAGAGACACACCGCCGGGGTCTACACACACACAACACACACACACACACACACACACACACACACACACACACACACACACACACACACCCACACACACACACACACACACACACACACACACACACACACACACACACACACACACACACACACACACACACACACACACACACACACACACACACACACACACACACACACACACACACACACACACACACACACACACACACACACACACACACACACACACACACACACACACACACACACACACACAATAAGATCACTTTTTTTTTCAGACAAAGCAAAGTGTTAAAAATAACAACAGGTGTCGCCCCTCACCGTGCCTCCCCCCCTCCGGGGTCTCCCCCTCTGCACTCTCGTCCTCACTGTCCTCCTGGGGGGGGGCGCTGCTCTGAGCCGAGGGCCTCCAGCTCCTGGGGTCCTTACAGGTGGTGAAGGGGGGCACTGGGGGAGGGCACCAACAAAAAAGAGAAAGTCAATGAGTCGATGTCTCAGTTAATTGCTTAATGAGTCAAAGAGTTATAATTCAACGTGGGAATGGGCTCATGAGCCTCTGGCTGTTGAGGGCTCCATATTAGATACTTAGAACGGAAGTTAATTATAATCAAATATGATTAAATATATTCTTGTATAACCCTCAATGAAAAAGCCTTATATGTTTCTATAATCACAGGATAGATATTTGTTAAATTGAGTTTAAAAACATATTGTGGTTTATGGGTGTCACTGAGGAGAGGGGAGACCGCTTCCCCCTCTCAGCTGTGCACAGGGGGGGGGCTCCTGACTGGTTGGAGAAACACTGAGGCCCCAAAAAGGTGTTTATGCCATAGCCGAGAATAATATTTCCCGTCCTGCACATCAGAGGCCCAGTTCCCACAAACACGGGTGTGGAGGAGGGGTCTTTGGGTTTCTGTCCTGTTTCCAGAATAAAAACACGAGCAGAGAGGGGGGGGGTTCCCTCCCTGGGAGCTGTGGTTTTCCTCGGTGAGGTTCTCTCAAACTTGGTAAATATCTCTCGAATGTATTTGTTGAATTGTTTATAACCCCGCCACCTGTGAGGATGGTCCTCTGAATTCATGCTGGACAGGTGTGTGAGAACTGATTTGGTGAATGAAAGGTTGAATGTGCTTTTTATTATCACCGGTCTTTTATGAGGAGATGCCTCTAAATTCTATAAAAATCACAACTGAGTTGGGCAGTTGAAGTTACACATTATGGTAATCAATGTAAAACCGTGAATTAAGGTTTCATATTAGAACATGATCACAGCACGGTAGGTTTAGGATGATTATCATGTTGTAACGAGAGAAGGTAAAAACCCTGTATTAGTTTGGACCTATTTTTCTTCAAATAAACTGATCCCACCTTTTGGACTGGGATAACTTCAAAGACATCTGTGCTCTCCTGCTTCAAAGGTGAGACTGCACCCTGCCACTCACTCTTAGGTAGGAGCACACCTCATTACTGATATCAACATCCTTCAGGATCGCTCAAACAGATTCAGAGAGTCCTCTGAATAGAAACAGCAGTTCATTGAACCTGGTTCTTCAGGAGTTAGTAGAGGTGAGATCTTGCTGACGTTGGTGGATCTGAGCCAAGCAGTGAACTTACATAGACTCAATGACTTCGCTCAGGTCAGTTAGTAGGTCAGAGTCATGTTATCAGCTCCTCCCGACTCCGACAGGGTTAATGAGTGACTGAGTTTCTCACCGTGGCGCCGGCTCTCGTTCACTTTGCTGACGAGCAGCACCGCCTTCTGATCCAAAGACATCCGGACCGAGTTAGAACCAAACAGCTGCTGCATGTACCTCTCTGTGAGAACACACACACCCATGAGAAACACTGTGTGTGTGTGTGTCTGTGTGTGTGTCAAAGTCAACTTTATTGTCAATCTGTCATTGACATAAATAAAAGCACAACAATCAATATATACAAAATAACAGTCACTTCAATATCTTTGGGATGTGTGTCTGTCTCTGTGTGTGTGTGTCTGTCTCTGTGTGTGTGTGTGTCTGTCTCTGTTGTGTGTGTGTCTGTCTCTGTGTGTGTGTGTGTGTCTGTCTCTGTGTGTGTGTGTCTGTCTCTGTGTGTGTGTGTCTGTCTCTGTGTGTGTGTGTGTGTGTCTGTGAGTGTCTGTCTGTGTGTGTGTGTGTGTCTGTCTCTGTCTGTCTCTGTGTGTGTGTGTCTGTCTCTGTGTGTGTGTGTCTGTCTCTGTGTGTGTGTGTCTGTCTCTGTGTGTGTGTGTCTGTCTCTGTGTGTGTGTGTGTCTGTGAGTGTCTGTCTGTGTGTGTGTGTGTGTCTGTCTCTGTCTGTTTCTGTGTGTGTGTGTCTGTCTCTGTGTGTGTGTGTGTCTGTATCTGTCTGTGTGTGCCTGTGAGTGTCTGTCTGTGTGTGTGTGTGTGTCTGTCTGTTTCTGTGTGTGTGTGTCTGTCTCTGTGTGTGTGTGTCTGTGAGTGTCTGTCTGTGTGTGTGTGTGTCTGTCTCTGTGTGTGTGTGTCTGTATCTGTGTGTGTGTGTCTGTCTCTGTGTGTGTGTGTGTGTCTGTATCTGTCTGTGTGTGTCTGTGAGTGTCTGTCTGTGTGTGTGTGTGTCTGTCTCTGTCTGTTTCTGTGTGTGTGTGTCTGTCTCTGTGTGTGTGTGTGTCTGTATCTGTCTGTGTGTGCCTGTGAGTGTCTGTCTGTGTGTGTGTGTGTGTGTCTGTCTCTGTCTGTTTCTGTGTGTGTGTGTCTGTGAGTGTCTGTCTGTGTGTGTGTGTGTGTCTGTCTCTGTGTGTGTGTGTCTGTGAATGTCTGTCTGTGTGTGTGTCTGTCTCTGTGTGTGTGTGTCTGTGAGTGTCTGTGTCTGTCTCTGTCTGTTTCTGTGTGTGTGTGTGTGTGTCTGTCTCTGTGTGTGTGTGTCTGTATCTGTCTGTGTGTGTGTGTGTCTGTCTCTGTCTGTGTGTGTGTGTGTCTGTCTCTGTCTGTGTGTGTGTGTCTGTATCTGTCTGTGTGTGTGTGTCTGTCTCTGTCTGTTTCTGTGTGTGTGTGTCTGTGAGTGTCTGTCTGTGTGTGTGTGTGTGTCTGTCTCTGTGTGTGTGTGTCTGTGAATGTCTGTCTGTGTGTGTGTCTGTCTCTGTGTGTGTGTGTCTGTGAGTGTCTGTCTGTGTGTGTGTGTGTCTGTCTCTGTCTGTTTCTGTGTGTGTGTGTCTGTCTCTGTGTGTGTGTGTCTGTATCTGTCTGTGTGTGTGTGTGTCTGTCTCTGTCTGTGTGTGTGTGTCTGTATCTGTCTGTGTGTGTGTGTCTGTCTCTGTGTGTGTGTGTCTGTTTCTGTGTGTGTGTGTCTGTCTCTGTGTGTGTGTGTGTCTGTATCTGTCTGTGTGTGTGTGTCTGTATCTGTCTGTGTGTGTGTGTCTGTTTCTGTGTGTGTGTGTCTGTCTCTGTGTGTGTGTGTGTGTGTCTATCTCTGTGTGTGTGTGTCTGTCTGTGTGTGTGTGTGTCTGTCTCTGTGTGTGTGTGTGTGTGTGTGTGTGTGTGTCTGTCTCTGTGTGTGTGTGTCTGTATCTGTCTGTGTGTGTGTGTGTCTGTCTGTGTGTGTGTGTGTGTCTGTCTCTGTGTGTGTGTGTCTGTTTCTGTGTGTGTGTCTGTGAGTGTCTGTCTCTGTGTGTGTGTGTGTGTCTGTGTGTGTCTGTCTCTGTGTGTGTGTGTCTGTCTCTGTGTGTGTGTCTGTTTCTGTGTGTGTGTCTGTGAGTGTCTGTCTGTGTGTGTGTGTGTGTCTGTCTCTGTGTGTGTGTGTCTGTCTCTGTGTGTGTGTGTCTGTCTCTGTGTGTGTGTGTCTGTCTCTGTGTGTCTGTCTCTGTGTGTGTGTGTCTGTCTCTGTGTGTGTCTGTCTCTGTGTGTGTGTGTGTGTGTCTGTTTCTGTGTGTGTGTGTGTCTGTGAGTGTCTGTCTGTGTGTGTGTGTGTGTGTCTGTCTCTGTGTGTGTGTGTCTGTCTCTGTGTGTGTGTGTGTCTGTATCTGTCTGTGTCTGTGAGTGTCTGTCTGTGTGTGTGTGTGTCTGTCTCTGTGTGTGTGTGTCTGTTTCTGTGTGTGTGTGTCTGTCTCTGTGTGTGTGTGTGTCTGTTTCTGTGTGTGTGTGTCTGTTTCTGTGTGTGTCTGTCTCTGTGTGTGTGTGTCTGTCTCTGTGTGTGTGTGTCTGTCTCTGTGTGTGTGTGTCTGTCTCTGTGTGTGTGTGTCTGTCTCTGTGTGTGTGTGTCTGTCTCTGTGTGTGTGTGTCTGTCTGTGTGTGTGTGTCTGTCTGTGTGTGTGTGTCTGTCTGTCTCTGTGTGTGTCTGTCTCTGTGTGTGTGTGTGTGTCTGTTTCTGTGTGTGTGTGTCTGTGAGTGTCTGTCTGTGTGTGTGTGTGTGTGTCTGTCTCTGTGTGTGTGTGTCTGTTTCTGTGTGTGTGTGTCTGTCTCTGTGTGTGTGTGTCTGTCTCTGTGTGTGTGTGTCTGTCTCTGTGTGTGTGTGTCTGTTTCTGTGTGTGTCTGTATCTGTCTGTGTCTGTGTGTGTCTGTTTCTGTGTGTGTGTGTCTGTCTCTGTGTGTGTGTGTGTGTCTGTCTCTGTGTGTGTCTGTCTCTGTGTGTGTGTGTGTGTGTCTGTTTCTGTGTGTGTGTGTCTGTCTGTGTGTGTGTGTGTCTGTCTCTGTGTGTGTGTGTCTGTTTCTGTGTGTGTGTGTGTCTGTCTCTGTGTGTGTGTGTCTGTTTCTGTGTGTGTGTGTCTGTCTCTGTGTGTGTGTGTGTCTGTATCTGTCTGTGTGTGTGTGTGTCTGTCTCTGTGTGTGTGTGTGTCTGTATCTGTCTGTGTCTGTGAGTGTCTGTCTGTGTGTGTGTGTGTGTCTGTCTCTGTGTGTCTGTTTCTGTGTGTGTGTGTGTGTGTCTGTCTCTGTGTGTCTGTTTCTGTGTGTGTGTGTGTCTGTCTCTGTGTGTCTGTGTCTGTGTGTGTGTGTCTGTCTCTGTGTGTGTGTGTGTGTGTGTGTGTGTGTGTGTGTCTGTCTGTGTGTGTGTGTGTGTCTGTTTCTGTGTGTGTGTGTCTGTGAGTGTCTGTCTCTGTGTGTGTGTGTGTCTGTTTCTGTGTGTGTGTGTGTGTCTGTCTCTGTGTGTGTGTGTGTGTCTGTCTCTGTGTGTGTGTGTCTGTCTCTGTGTGTGTATGTCTGTCTCTGTGTGTGTGTGTGTCTGTCTGTGTGTGTGTCTGTCTCTGTGTGTGTGTGTGTCTGTCTCTGTGTGTGTGTGTCTGTCTCTGTGTGTGTGTGTGTCTGTCTCTGTGTGTGTGTGTGTCTGTCTCTGTGTGTCTGTCTGTGTGTGTGTTTATGTGTGTGTCTCTGTGTGTGTCTGTTTCTGTGTGTGTCTGTGAGTGTGTGTGTGTGTGTCTGAGTGTGTGTGTGTGTCTGAGTGTGTGTGTGTGTCTGTATCTGTCTGTGTGTGTGTGTGTGTCTCTGTGTGTGTGTGTGTCTGTTTGTGTATCTGTCTCTGTGTGTGTGTGTCTGTTTCTGTGTGTGTGTGTGT